TTTTTTTTTTTTTTTTTTTTTTTTTTTTTTTTTGGCCGTGGTACAGAGGGCTGAGAATTGAATAGCTTGGAATGATGATACAAGTTTTTCAAGAGCCTGTTTTTTCCATTTCGTGTTTTTCTTACCGTTGTTTACTCAATAAAAATATTCCTTCTTGTCTTTGAAGCTTTTTTGGTGGTAGATTTGGGTCTTATAGTCTCGATGTTGTTGATGTAGTTTCTATTTGCTGATGAAATTTGGCTTGAGCTAGCATCCATTTTCACAGTGTTAGAATTATTAATTTTTGCAGGTTTAGTTTTATGGTATTTGAAAGTAGCTGTTAGTGCAAGATTAAAAGAAGTTTGTTGAAGATAGTAAACTACATTTTTTGCTTAACGTTTTAACTTTTTTTTTAACCGGAAATCGCAGTAGTAAAAGAGATTTAGTAGAGTTCATCATTGTAACTATGATTTCATAAGTCTAAATCATATTCTATGGCAGACGGCGGTATTGCGGGAGCTAAGAAGTAAGTAAAGCTGTACCAGTGACTTATTATGTTTACGAATGCGCGTTTAAACCTTGGAGTTCTTTTGCGTCTATTTGGATGTAAGCTTTTTACAGGGTCGTAAAATAGTTTGATTTTTAGTAAATTAGTATCTCTACTTCACATAACTTTGGCTTCATATTCGTGCATTTTTTACGCGCTAGTCACTTTTCGGAGTTCAACAGGTTTTTGATACGCTTGGTTTGTTCAGTGCTTTGCTTTTGATTCTGTATTCACTGTCATTGTTTTAGAGAATTGCGTTTGCTGAACACGGGAGAGTATGGCAGCTATAAGAAAAAAGTTGGTTATTGTGGGAGATGGTGCGTGCGGTAAGTTTTTACTTCCTCATTTTTTTCTTAAAGTAATTTGACGAGATTTTTTGGTCATCGTTTTTCGCGCGTAGCGCTTTGATATTTTTTGTTCTGATGAAGTTTATTGCCATTATTGCTTTCAATTGAGAATTATATTTCATTGAAATTCATTAACCGTGTGAACTTCATTTATAGCATTTGGCTGTTGAGGTAGCATTCCTTTGAAAGTGTCATATCTTAATGAGATGAATTTTTAGCATCTTTACGTTTTTTTCGTCTTTTAAGTTATTGTTAACTAACTATGTGTACGTAACTTAGCTCTGCCGGACAGTATAGACGCAGTGAACGTAGGGGAGTAGAGGTAGTTTTGGAAGTTGAGGCATAGTTCTCTGCCGAAAATTTTTTTGGGTAAATAAGGTTCGAAATCCTTTAACTGCACGTTTTTGGGAGTTATTGTTTTACCAATGTGAATGGGAGCTTTAAATATATCTTATCTACAGTTACTTTCTTCATGTTATGCATAAGTTTTATTAAGTTAAGTAACGAGTGGGAAACTGCTGAAGATATAAAAGTTCTGCTTTTTGTACGCAATATGCACTTACTCTTAGCTCTTTTTACTGGTAGATTTTTGATGGGCGGTAATAACGGCGACTCTTCCTGATAGTTTAATTGGTCTGGTTTCAAAATAATTTTTGCAGAGCGGTTCTCCGTTTCATGACGGATAATCTCTTCGAACTTTGTCTGTTATTTCTAGGATGTAGGCAATAGAAATCTGAGACTGATGTTATAACATCTGTTGCTTAAAAGAAATAAATCTTCGATTTAGTAGGTGCGGTGCATTTATTTTTCTAATAAACTAATATTTCATTAAAAGTGATGTACGACGGTTTTCAATTGCAGGTAAGACATGTTTATTAATAGTGTTCAGCAAAGATCAGTTTCCTGATGTCTATGTGCCGACAGTTTTCGAAAATTATGTTGCCGATATAGAAGTAGACGGGAAACAGGTCTCTATAATAATAATATTATCATTAATATTGTTGACAAATTTTAGGTTTTGAAGTTCAGAGTCGAAATCATTTTTGTTAGAAAGAAGTGCTAAATGTTTCTTTAGTTCAAGTTTAAATAAAAGTAAATTTTATAATTCTAATGTTAGTTTTTTGTATAAGAAGAAGATACAGCAAACCATTTTTCTTCACTTCAGGATAGGTCTTTCAATTATATTATAAGCGTTGCTAAATTATTTTCATGAGGCAAACCAGATTCGTTGCTTTATAAAAACTGAATCAAATGAATTTTAAGATTTCATGGAATACATGGAATAGAAGCTGGATTTCTAGTGAATTGTTAACGGATGGTTTTTTGCAGGTTGAACTTGCCCTATGGGATACTGCAGGACAGGAGGATTATGACCGACTGAGGCCTCTCAGTTACCCAGACACCGACGTTATTCTAATGTGTTTTAGTATTGATTCACCAGATTCGCTCGAAAACATTCCGGAGAAATGGACGCCTGAGGTTAATAATTTTGTTTTTTTACATCTTTTTTCTTCGGTTTTTTGCGGAGACGTTAACATAGCTGAATTGTTATTTTCGCATCTACGTTGAATGTGTCGCAGCTTCAGTCACTAAGTTTTTGCCAGCCTTGGCTAGAATCTTTACGTTCAGTGAGCACTGAATAATGATTCATCATAGACGAGAAGTTTCCTTCTGCAATTTTTTAAGCAATTGTTTTTTTTTAAATCCAGTTGGCTCCGTAAAAGAAAAATACCATTTTTGCTATTTTGGTAGGTTAAGGGTGAAATTTATTTATAGTTACAGTTTGTCAGCGGGTTTCTTCTCATTTCGTTTAAGACCTAACTTTTACGGAAAAAAATTTTAAAAGAACGGGTTTTTTCTTTTTTTTTTTGAATTGCTTTTTGGCTAGGAGAGAAGGTGAAACATATTCTCTTGTTTTATTTTGCAATCGCGAGTACAGCAGACATCTGGAAGGAAA